TATTTAGGACCCTCCTGGATTGTTTTCCATTAGGAGGAAAGAACTAACTATATGAATCAGATATTTCTTTGGTGTGTAGAGCCCTGTCCAGCCTCTTACCTCCTTTAACACCAGACTCCTTTTGGGTTTTTGATGGACAGGGCTGGGTTCATCTGGATCCCGCCTAAAGCTCAGTAGGGCGTAACTTCCATATTCTCTTACCAGATAAATTTACTTGGTGGTGCCTCCCCCGATCCCTGCTCCCTCTTAGCAGGATCACCAGGCAGCGAGGCGGTTTGAACGGAAAATTCCAACCACAGGATAGCCCTGAGTTGCTTGCCAGATAGCTGGAGACTCCCAAGGAATAAACACAAACAATATATACAGAGGAACTGTATTAAACAGGAAGAACATATGACAGATGTTATGGGATAACCTGACAGGAGAAGGAGATCCTTGCTCGCCTTCTTCTGTTCAAGCCATTTGTGACCAAGGGACCTCTTGATGCCAACTGGCAGAAGGCACAGGAGATGCATAGGGTTTTACAGGGAAATCCTGGGTCAGATATATGAAAATTCAGTTAACCAAAAGGGTAGCATGTAAGGTCTCTATCACAATCCACTGATCATTATAATAATTTCAAAATGTATGTATGGATAATATTTAAGAAGTTATGTATCTATACTGGAAGTTACATTCTCCAAGCCTTAGAGTTAAGGTAGGTAACATGTCTTAAACAGATTCTTTTCAAGCAGGAGGTAGCAGATGCTTTCCCTTCTGGTCATTGTGCATTCCATGTCTCACACTATAAGCCTATTTGCATAGCGAGACATATGCTGATTAAAAGACTGCAAAAATCAACAAGAGAAAGGCCATGGGGTGGGAAGCAGTTGGTAGGGGGTGTCCTGTTTATGAAAAAAACAAAAAGAACTGGCCTGATATATATAAGGGTACCAAGAGATACCCTGCCCCCTTTACTTAGGGGACAAGCTAGCAGAGTGTTTTGTTGCATGAAAAAGGGATCACAGCCAGGCCTGGATGAAAAAAGCTGGAAGGACTTTGGGGTAAGCGTTACTCTATAAGACAAGAAAGTATCAAGGTAAATAAGTCTAAGTTCTAGAATGTGGGTTATGTTATGATTTTATTTTATAAATAACCTATTGCTATCCTGCATAAGTGGTCAGTGGACCACTTATGTTGCCCATGGCCAGTACAGTCAGGGAGCTGACCCATGGTAGGCACAGTAAAGGCTTCCTCATACAAAGCACAAGTGGTAGTGAGGTGCCTCAAACCCTGGGTACCCCAGAAAGCATCACACCATTCTACTTTATATAAATATTGTGTGGGACAGACAGACAGATAGCCTGAGGGTTAGATTAGCCACCTGGGTAGGGGGAGACCCAGGGTCCAGTCCTCCTGTTTCAATAACCAATAATTCAACTAATAATTCTAATAACTAATAATATATTACATATAATTAGTTAATATAACAACTAATAATTCAACAGGAAAATTTGATGGAAACCTCACCTGCCTCAGACTATTCTACAGCCCTTGGGTTAGAGCAGTCAGGTGGGAGATTCCTGTTCAAATCCTGTCTCCCTCTTCAGCAGAAGGGGAGAATTGAACCTTGGTCTCCCATATTACAGGTGAATAATCACTAGGATAAAAGATATAGGCACCAACCCCACCTCCTCCTCCATTTTGTAGTATTCTTAGAGCACACCTACTGGAACAAGCCCCATTGGGAAGACAGGCACTCCTCCACCTATCTTCTCTTGCTTATGGCTCACATGGGGGCTTCGGCACCTGGCTGCTTATCTCATGCCTAGGGCCCTGAATTCACGGCCATGAAAATTCACGGCCATGAAAAATGTGTCACGGACTGTGCAATCTGATCGTTGTATGCTTTTACCCTATTCTATAGAGATTTCATGGGGGAGACCAGCATTTCTCAAATTGGAGGTCCTGCCCCAAAAGGGAGTTGCAGAGGAGGTCACAAGGTTATTTTGGGGGGGGGTCATAGTACTGCCACTCTTACTTCTGCACTGTCTTCAGAGCTGGCCAGGCATCCAGCTCTGAAGGCAGCAGCCTACCAGCAGCAGCACAGAAGTAGGGGGGCAATACCATGCCATGCCACCCTTACTTCTGCACTGCTGCCTTCAGACCTGGGCAGCCAGACAGTGGCAGCTGCTGAGTGAGGGCCCAGCTCTGAAGGCAACAGTGCAAAAGGATGGAAATATCACACCATGCCATCCTTACTTCTGCACTGCTGCTGGTAGCTCTGCCTTCAGAGCTAGGCTTCCAGCCAGCAGCCGCCGCTCTCCAGCTGCTCAGCTCTGAAGGCAGCGCCACCACCAGCAGCAGTGCAGAAGTAAAGGTAGCAGTATCACATCCCCCCCACACATAACTCCTTTTTGGGTCAGGACCAGTTCAATTACAACACAGTGAAATTTCAGATTGAAATAGCTACAATCATGAAATTTACAATTTTTAAAATCCTATGACTATGAAATTGATCAAAATGGACCATGAATTTGGTAGGTCCCTACTCATGCCTATTGTGAGGCAACAGTGCACACACCTGAGGTAGAAATTCAGGTGCTGCCTCAGGACTTTGTACAGCAAAAAAAAAAAAAAAAAAATCAGGTGCTGAGTTTAGGCATCTACGGGGTTAGGCAGCAACCATGTGGAGACTCAGGGAGCTTGGCTTGTTTAGCCTAACTAAAAGAAGGTTGAAGGGAGATAGGATTGCTCTCTATAAATATATCAGAGGGATAAATACCAGAGAGGGAGAGGAATTATTTAAGCTCAGTACCAATGTGGACACAAGAACAAATGGATATAAACTGGCCACTAGGAAATTTAGACCAGAAATTAGACGAAGGTTTTTAACCATCAGAGGAGTGAAGTTTTGGAATAGCCTTCCAAGGGAAGCAGTGGGGGTCAAAAGATCTATCTGGCTTTAAGATTAAACTGGATAAGTTTATGGAGGAGATGGTATGATGGGATAACATGGTTTTGGTAATTAAATATTCATGATAAATAGGTCCAATGGCCTGTGATGGGCTATTAGATGGGGTGAGATCCGAGTTACCCAGGAAAGAATTTTCTGTAGTATCTGGCTGATGAATCTTGCCCATATGCTCAGGGTTTAGATGATCGCCATATTTGGGGTCGGGAAGGAATTTTCCTCCAGGGCAGATTGGAAGAGGCCCTGGAGGTTTTTCGTCTTCCTCTGTAGCATGGAGCACGGGTCACTTGCTGGAGGATTCTCTGCTCCTTGAAGTCTTTAAACTACGATTTGAGGACTTCAATAGCACAGATATAGGTGTGAGGTTTTTTTGTAGGAGTGGTGGGTGAAATTCTGTGGCCTGCGTTGTGCAGGAGGTCAGACTAGATGATCATAATGCTCCCTTCTGACATAAATATCTATGAATCACAGTACTGCCTAAAACTAGGATTTAGGTACATACACCTCAGATTGAGGCACCTCAGTCCCTATGTGGACCTGGTCTTCTGTCTCTGCTCCTTCTCAGAGCCAAGATCTCCACATTTCTCTCACTGTCTGCTGTTTTTTTTCCTTCTGACAGACAGACAAACAGCTGCAGCCAATCAATGCCCTGGCCCTATATTTTTAATCAATCCCCACCGCCCCCTCACTCAAACTCTGCCAGGCTGGTCCATGCCTTGGGAAGTGGTTTCTATTCTTTCAGCTCTCACTAACAATGAGGCATTTAATTGCTCCCTCATTCAGCTTCATAGAATCATAGAATATCAGGGTTGGAAGGGACCTCAGGAGGTCATCTAGTCCAACCCCCTGCTCAAAGCAGGACCAATCCCCAATTTTTGCCCCAGATCCCTAAATGGCCCCCTCAAGGATTGAACTCACAACCAGCTTGAATGAAGTGTGCTTAATACACTAATTAACTTTTGGTATTTGACTGGTGGCCACCATTAACACCTTACACCATAACATAATTATTACCATTCCAACTTTTTTCCACCACTACAATATCTGAAATTAGTTCTTGATTGGTTTTCTCTGCCAAATCTAAAAGGAACCCGTGAACGCTCCAAGGCAGAGAAAGCACAGCTGCTCACAGTAGGCCCAAGCCTGTACTCTTTGTAACCAGAACTCCGACTGTCTTCAGAAGACTTTTTTCTTGAGGAGTGTAGAACTGGGTTCTTAGCATTTGGAAGTAGTGTGACTCAAAGATATTTTTGCTGTTCTTATACTTTGGAATCCTGGAACCAGGTAAGGACAATCATAACCAGATTTTCAGAAGTGCTGAGTTCCCACCATAGTGAATAGTAACAGCAAGTGATGAACACCTCTTAAAATTGAACTCTCATATCCGTAGCACTTAAAGAGCTCTGCTGTAAAATTTAATCCACTCCAACCCTAAGAACTGTGCTGCTATATATAATATTATGTAGAAAAACTGATATTGATAGTGTTCTCTTGGGCCAAAGTGTTTAACACAGAAGTGGAAATCCTTGAATCCACTAGTCCTCAGTAAAGAGAGGAAATGTTATAGTATATCATAGACGTAAAATGGTATGATATAGAAGACAGTTTTAAAAATAAAATTTGGGATCCTTGGGATGACTGGTTAGCAACCCAACCAAACTCTGCTCTCAGTTACCAATGTTAAGGGCCTGATCCAGCTCTCATTAACATAAATATAAATTTTACCTCTGACTTCAATGGGGCAGCAGCAGGTCCCAAATCCACTCCCTTGGATTACTCTAGATTTACAGTATTGTAAATAAAGCCTGATCTGCACTGATTTAACTACATCAGTTTTGAAAGTAAAACCCATTTAGTTAAATCTGTATAACATTTGTATTTAGGCAAGGCCTGAATATGAGAGTTGGCACAATAAAGTAAGATACACTGAACGAGTTTGGTAACAGATATACAGAATAAAGCTCCACTCCAGCTACCACATACGCTTAATTTTAAGAGGAAGAGTTGCCCCACTGACTACAAATTTACCATGTGTCTGCAGTATCAGGGCGTCTGTCCCACGCTCATTTGATAGGGGATATGGCTCACTGTACTCACCTCACAGGGACTAGTCGGGGGGCAGAACGCCAGTTTAATTTGGCAGCTATGGGCGCTGCCTCTGGGGTGAGCCCTTGGGAGTCTAGGGAGACGGCACTGCCACACCCTTAGGGCTAAGTACTGCAGCCCGCTGGTGTTTGAGGGGATAGGGCCGAGCCTGGACAGAGGGTTGGCCAGGGAGGCCACCGGGCCCGGGAGAGGGGAGAGCAGAGTTTGCCCCTGATGGACACAGCGAGACTGTGCCCCAGAGGAGCAGCCGCTGCTGCAGTATCCGCGGGAGCCACCCCCAGGCCTTCACCGTGGGGGCAGGCTCGGGCCGGCCGGGGCTGCGCTGTTTCTCAGGCAGCTGCTTGGCCACCTCTGCTCCTGCTAGGCCCCGGCTCGGGCGTTGCTTGGCAGAGGGACGCCAGCTCTGCGGGGAGGAGGCCGGTCGGCGCTGGGTGCGGGACGTGTCCAGGTCCGAGTCCGCCCCGCACGGCAAGATGGGGCTGGAGATGGAGCCGCTGCTCCAGGCCTGGAGCTACTTCAGGAGGCGGAAGTTCCAGCTCTGCGCGGATCTCTGCTCCCAGCTGCTGGAGAAATCCCCCGGACAGCAGGTACCGGGCCAGGCCGCGGGGGTAGGGGCGCTGCGTGAACGATGGGCGGGGTGGAGGTTGAGGACTCAGGCTCACGAGAGAGCTGGAGCGGTGGTAAGAGTGGGCGGGCGCCGGGGAGTGTGTGTCAGCGCCCCCCTCACTCGGGGTGAGCGGAGTGTGTCCGCGCAGTAGGGTTTGTAGCTACACCTGGTGCATCCCGCTTTCCCCTGGCCCCCCAACATCATCCCTTTCCTGCCTCCAGTCCAGCCTGGGACTGGATTGCTCGAGGAAGTGCATGAGCATCGGTGCTTAGGGGAGCCATGCTTCTTACAAGGGAGGCTTGGGCAGCTTCTCTGCTTTATTGTCTGTTGCCACCCTGGCCTTCCAAACAGCTGTTCCAAGTGGGCGACTGTCTCCCAGTGACAGAGGAGGGAGTGTAAACCCATAAATTGCATCAGCCAGAAACATTTGCTAGACAGTTTGGAGGCACCTAGACTGAATTTAATCAATATAGAAGGTGGACCAATACAAGATATTACCTAACTGACCTTGTCTCTCTAATATTCTGGGACCAACACAACATCAACACTGCAAAGTAATGTTAGCTAGCTCTTACGTATTGCTTGTTAGTAGATCTCCCAAAAGTACTATTAACTTGATAACTTGATCAGAACTGAGCAAGAACAAAAATCAAACTTGAATGTATATCTGTTGTCCTCATTTGATGCTAAGCCTCCCTATTAAGACAAAAATGCTTTTTTAAAAAAAACAAAAGTGAACTAGCTACTACTGACCTCTCTGAAATCTTTCCTTCCTTCTAGAGAAGGCAGTGGAGCCCCTACAGATTTACTCTAAATCAGTGTTGAAGGGACATCTATTCCTCTAGTGGCATGAGATGGCATATGCACTTTAGGGCCCCAAACCCAAAGCAAGTAGTGAAGTAGGAGACAAAGGTACTTCTATAATTAAAATATATATGTTGTAATAGCAATAAGATAATTGTGGCCCTTTATCTCTCCCCCACCCCAAATCCAGTCCATCCCAAAACTCCGCCAGCCCAAGCAGAGTTCTTATCCTGTAAAAGGTTTCAGAGGAACAGCCGTGTTAGTCTGTATTCGCAAAAAGAAAAGGAAAAGGAGTACTTGTGGCACCTTAGAGACTAACCAATTTATTTGAGCATGAGCTTTCGTGAGCTACAGCTCACTTCATCAGATGTTTACCGTGGAAACTGCAGCAGACTTTATATACACACAGAGAATATGAAACAATACCTCCTCCCACCCCACTGTCCTGCTGGTAATAGCTTATCTAAAGTGATCAACAGGTGGGCCATTTCCAGCACAAATCCAGGTTTTCTCACCCTCCACCCCCCCCACACAAATTCACTCTCCTGCTGATGCTAGCCCATCCAAAGTGACAACTCTTTACATAATCAAGTCGGGCTATTTCCTGCATAGATCCAGGTTTTCTCACATCCCCCCCCACCCCCATACACACACAAACTCACTCTCCTGCTGGTAATAGCTCATCTAAACTGACCACTCTCCAAGTTTAAATCCAAGTTAAACCAGAACATCTGGGGGGGGGGGTAGGAAAAAACAAGAGGAAACAGGCTACCTTGCATAATGACTTAGCCACTCCCAGTCTCTATTTAAGCCTAAATTAATAGTATCCAATTTGCAAATGAATTCCAATTCAGCAGTTTCTCGCTGGAGTCTGGATTTGAAGTTTTTTTGTTTTAAGATAGCGACCTTCATGTCTGTGATTGCGTGACCAGAGAGATTGAAGTGTTCTCCGACTGGTTTATGAATGTTATAATTCTTGACATCTGATTTGTGTCCATTTATTCTTTTACGTAGAGACTGTCCAGTTTGACCAATGTACATGGCAGAGGGGCATTGCTGGCACATGATGGCATATATCACATTGGTGCATGTGCAGGTGAACGAGCCTCTGATAGTGTGGCTGATGTTATTAGGCCCTGTGATGGTGTCCCCTGAATAGATATGTGGGCACAATTGGCAACGGGCTTTGTTGCAAGGATAAGTTCCTGGGTTAGTGGTTCTGTTGTGTGGTATGTGGTTGTTGGTGAGTATTTGCTTCAGGTTGCGGGGCTGTCTGTAGGCAAGGACTGGCCTGTCTCCCAAGACTTGTGAGAGTGTTGGGTCATCCTTTAGGATAGGTTGTAGATCCTTAATAATGCGTTGGAGGGGTTTTAGTTGGGGGCTGAAGGTGACCGCTAGTGGCGTTCTGTTATTTTCTTTGTTAGGCCTGTCCTGTAGTAGGTAACTTCTGGGAACTCTTCTGGCTCTATCAATCTGTTTCTTTACTTCTGCAGGTGGGTATTGTAGTTGTAAGAAAGCTTGACAGAGATCTTGTAGGTGTTTGTCTCTGTCTGAGGGGTTGGAGCAAATGCGGTTGTATCGCAGAGCTTGGCTGTAGACGATGGATCGTGTGGTGTGGTCAGGGTGAAAGCTGGAGGCATGCAGGTAGGAATAGCGGTCAGTAGGTTTCCGGTATAGGGTGGTGTTTATGTGGCCATTGTTTATTAGCACTGTAGTGTCCAGGAAGTGGATCTCTTGTGTGGACTGGACCAGGCTGAGGTTGGTGGTGGGATGGAAATTGTTGAAATCATGGTGGAATTCCTCAAGGGCTTCTTTTCCATGAATATTGTTTCATATTCTCTGTGTGTATATAAAGTCTGCTGCAGTTTCCACGGTAAACATCTGATGAAGTGAGCTGTAGCTCACGAAAGCTCATGCTCAAATAAATTGGTTAGTCTCTAAGGTGCCACAAGTACTCCTTTTCTTATCCTGTAAAAGGAGAAGTACTAGAGACATCATGAAATGCACAAGGGATTTTGATATTAATTTTATGTCAAAAATGCTCAGATGCAATTGTGATTGGCAGAAGTGTAAAACTAAGATTGATATTCCTGCTCGTCTTCAATATCTGGTAAAGGGACTGTATATTTGAATTTGTTGTTTAATAATCAATTACATGGAACTGACCATTTGTTTCATCTGAATGGGTATTAACTAAGTGTTCAGTATGCTGTTCAAGGTTTACACTTCAGTTATACATGTTGCATGAAAAAAGAAGGTTCTCCAACTTTCATCCTGGATAAATATCATTTTATGTAAAAGTCATTATTGCTATTATTTCTTGGAGAACAGCAGCTAGATGGGCTTTGTCTCTGGACAAGATATACTGGGAAGATTTTAGTTCTCACAAAATGTCCTACGCGTCAGTTTCTCTTAAGAACTTGAGAGTTCACCCTTTCCCATAAGGGAAAAGAGGCAAAGGATCTCAAGGAGCAACCACTGAAATTGCACAAGGTATACGATTTGATGAGCACTTGTTTATGCTAAATATTTGAAAACATTTATTCATACCATAAGCCCTAAGTCACCACACAAAAGCCCCAAGGAACAAATAAAAAAGCTTTTACTTAGAAAGGACATTCAGAGAAAGCTTGAAGCTGTAATCTCATGATTGTTTCCACTAATTACTGCTGTACATGCACTAGACATCTGCAGAGCTGTTCTTCACAGGGTCTTCCACATCAAAAAGCTTGCCTTATTTATGAAGTGTGTTTGCAGTATGTATACTTAGATTGTAAGCTTTTTGGGTCAGGGACCATCTTATGTTTGTACAATGCCTAGCAAAATGGGGCCCTCAACAATGACTGGCGTTCCTAGGGTACAACCACAATACTAATAGTACCATATTAACACTGCTGCAGCAGTGTTATTCATTTATAAATATCTAAAGTGCCAAACTGAGAAGTTTTCCAAATCATTACCAGTCTGAATATGAAAAGTTTGTTTATTTATTGTATAGGGAGCTTTTTAATGTGCACTGTAGAACTCCAACATACAAGCATTGCAGTGTGATTTTTTTTCTTCCTTGGGACTGCAAAAATTTTGCTGAAAAGTTATAGTCTTTTGCTGAGCTTATTGCAGAACCAACTGAGGAAACCAGCTCATAGCAGAAGAAATAGGGTAAGGAGCATAATATATCATGGGCTGGGAGAAAGCGTTTAGGAGAAGTATGGCTGGGGGGAGGAGGAGAAGGCAGCAAATAAGATATTAGCATGAGAGGACAGCAGTGGCAGGTGAAACAAACAAGTGGAAAAATAGCAGTTCGAAGAGAGAAAGATCTAAACTTTCTAATTTTAGAGGAAGCTGCAGTGTAGAGGACAGTGTAGGCACAGTAAGGGTTTGATATTGGTAGTATTTGAAGACTATCAACTGAGTCAGTCTTAGCTTGCTGGGTTTTTGCTGTATGTTTGCCATCCAAATATTGAGCATGGACCCAATCTTGCAAACACTTAAGTTCATACATATCTTTACTCCCATGAATAAAAAGTTCAAATGTGCTATTTGGAGGGTCAGGGCCCACTGTTTGTACCAGCTGGTGTTAATGTCATAGCTTTGACAATTGACAATGAAGGCAACTTTGTATAGATCTAGAAACAATCAATTACTTTTTATTTGCAAACTGGATAAAGCTAAGCTACCTATTTCAAATCACACAAGGAAAAAAGTGGAAACACCTTTTAAAATAATTGATTTCATATAGCATAAGTCCCAGTGTACGATTTATACTTCTGTCTGAAAATGTACTTATTGCCACAAGTAACTACTGTTGCTTCAGCTGAAGGATTAAAGTGAATGGAATTCTCTCAAATTTGTACATTTGACAATTCTTTGCATATAGTCAGTTTCACTGTTGCTGCTATATAATTATTTGAGGAATCCTCATTTAAAAGTTCAATTTAAACAGGAATGGCTTGCTTTTTAAAGTGAACTGTATTTCTACTTGACTGACGCTCTTAGTTCTCAGATTAATTTTTTGTCTTTTAAATCTGCACTATGTATTTAAGTCTCTGTGGAAAACACTTTGTATAACTGAAATCAATACTAAAAATTCATAGACTTTAAAAAACTGTAATGATTAGTTTAAAGTGAATTGGTCAGCATATTTCTTCAGAAAGATTGTAGAGTACACAGTATTTC